TTCTCGGGTACTACTGCTCTACCCTGTAGGCAGCCCCAGGCAATGTCTGGGAAAAGGCACCTTATGGCTTTTAAACAAGCTTGTACTCCTCATTTGCTCATGTGTGTGCTTTATTTTGGCCTTTGCCTCAAGATAATGGGAGATCACAGACTGAGAATTGCATGTGTGCTTTGGAGGATGGAGGGATGCTTTTGTGTCAAGGTAACTACAGCATCTACAGTATGGGTCTGTATATGCGTACACTCAAAAAAAATTATTCATTGGATGAACATAATTTTATCTTGCCACTTATATTCCATCTAAACAAATCATGTTATATTAATCCATCTTGATTGTGTTGTTTCAACACGATATATGTTTGTTGTTGCTTGTACCAAGTTAGTCTACTTAAATTTATTTAAAGTCATGTTATATTGTTTAAACACTTTGGCACATGAAAAGTCAGTCTTGTTAGATGAACTAGTAAAATATTTGTTTGTTGCACCAGTGATTGTTGAATGAACAAATGTAACTTTTGTCTGTAGTGCATGTTGTGTTCATTTCACATAATGTTCAACAAAAAAATTCAACGGATTTACAGCGACTTCCAATCCACCCATCCTCTTATCTTTATCTGGGCTGCGGAAGTGATAGGGTAAGAGGGGCAGGGTACATCCGGGACAGGTCACCAGACTATCACATAGAGCTAAACAACCATTTGCACTTTAACACCTTTGGGTAATTTAGAATCACCAATTACCCTTACCCTAATAACTGCATGACTTTTAACTGTGGAGAAAACCAGAGTACGCAGAGAGAATCCATTGCAAACTTGGCCAAATTGTGGATTTGAACCCAGGACCTTCTTACTCTGAGGCAACAGCACGTAAAACCATGGCATTGAGCCATGGTGGTACTCGACAAAAGTAGGAAAGCTATGCTTGATGCAGAATTTTCTTTATGTTTTTGTCCTCGACAAGTTAAACCATAATAAATAGTAATACATACAGTACACGTGGTGTGTGTATGGTTGTCTGCCTCTTATAACCCCAGTGATTTTCCTGTGGTTTGACATCTCGTGTGATCTTGTGAATTTCGTGAGTCCAGGCAACTAACCACTCTTCCTAGATTGTATCATGTCATCTGAACAAGAACAAATTAAGTTTTGGAATTTCATGCACATCCAGCGTGATTTAATTGCGTTCACCATAGACACATGAAATTATTTTGTTCAAATGACTAGTTAGACTTTTGTAAATGCAACAACCACCCAATTTACTTTTTTTGAGTGTATAAGTTTTGATGCTGTGCTGTTACAGAAGGTATCTATTCTCTCTGCTATGTTAACAAAAGAAAAGCAAGAAGCTGTCGTAAAGACATCAGCATCATGGTGAGGAATTTGAGAGGGACAATGGTTAAAGAGCGAACAACACCAGAGAAGCAAAGGGAGCGACTGTGAATGTTAGACTGTGAATTATTGTACTGTTTCAGCAACATTCTTTCTTCCCTGTTATGCAAACTGGACAAATTTGAATGTGAAAACAAGAAATAAAGTGATTTTGCAGAGTATGCAGATGTTTGAGAGGGCTTTCTATATAAGCACAGAGATACAAATCAGAGAATAACATGGACGGCCGCGGATGTAGAGGCTTGAGTAATGCAGACAAAGGAAGGACATCAGATTTATGGAGGGGTATGCGCAGAGAAACAGAGATGTTTGACAGACAGAGCGAGTAATTAAGAATCGAAAAACAGACTGTACATTAACAAAAAAGGAGATGCTCGTGAACAAGTGAAGGGGGAGCAACTAGATGTAAATGTAGGAGATGTCCCTGGAGACCTATTGTGTCCAGTGCTTTAACTGTGGTGATGATGTACCATGCCGCTGGTCCCTTCCTCTCATTAAAGCTTTATGAAGCAAGCTTAGCACACATTTTATTACAATGACGCCACTGTCTGGCACATTCCAGCCTTGCAGCAGGGTGGTGTTGGTGGAGGGGGTTTTAGAAAAAAAAATAAGCCAATAGAGGCATAGATCAGAAAGGGAATCAAGAGAGAAAGGAAGACAGTGAGTGTAAGAAAGGCAAAACCAACATGAGGAAGCATGAATAGAAAAAAGAAGAAGCGATAGACGGAGAACAGAAGCTAAGAATGAAAGCTCAGATGAATGAAAAGTGGGATTTCAGTTATGTGCTCTGGGCCTGTGTGTATAGTTGCGGCTGTCTTGGTATTGTATAAAAATAGACTGGTTTGGGATTAAGGCTATCAATATTTCTTTAGGTTTTGATGGAGGCCCATGAGGTAGATGGAAAGTCAAATTTGAAGACAAGTGATGTCATAAGCTGCATCTAAGCCAGAAGTTTCAGTCAAATTTCAAAAGAAGTCATCAGCTGGCACAGGAGCTCTGCTCCAATCTGCTACCCAGGATGTCAGCTCACATGTTCAGTGCTTCAGTTCTATTATTTCTCATTCTGCTGGGTTTTTTCCTTAACTCAAAATAGTTGATCCTTTTACCACAAATTCATCCAAAATCAAGCCAGTTGTACTGAGGTTAATACATACAAATGGATTTTCTTTAGCATTTATAAAAGATGAAACTCCAAGTACTGCACTTTACTGGCACTTCACTAAAAAAGTGCAATCTTTTTTTTATTATCTTATAACACAACCTCATTTCAGGATGTTACACTCATGTGCACTGAAATATCAACTGAAATCTGGGAAAAAGTTATAAAACTCATTTGTGAAGACACTAAGAACATTGACTTTAAGAACACCATGACTCAGCTACTGCTGAATGACGCATGCTAAGTACGTCTAGTATGCTAGTTCTCTGAATGGAAGACATTTAGCTCCTGTCATAATCAGAGACTAAATCCCTGCCTTATCGCCTCCTGGGTGTAGGGGCCTCAGCTTTGTTTAATTGCCACAAACCCAAGCGTCAAAGCTGCATCTCCCTCAGTGTTTACCCCCACTGAGGCTTATAGCTGATAATGGAATTACTCTGAGTCCCAGGGGGAGGGAGAGCAGGAGGAACAGGAAGAGGAGGCAGCTATAGATGAAGGAAAGTGGATGATGGTGGAAGCTGAAAGAGAGAGGATGGATGGAGCATCACCTGGAAAACTAAAGAAAGGGGCAAAGGTATGAGGTGATGTGATGCGCAAGAAGATAGATAGAGGGAGAAAGACAGGAAAAAATTTAGAGTAATGCCTGACTGTTGCCAAAAGCAAACCCTGCAGTCTTCGTGCCTTACTGTTTACTCCAGTGTGACGTATGATGGGGCGGAGAGTGAATTATGATGCAGGGTAGAGCTGAAGTCCAAAAACATGGCTGTTTGAAAGAAAGGAAGAATGGGACTTAGGAAAGAAAGAGGAGGAGGGAATAAGAGGATAAAAGAGAAAGTGGGCAGCCGAAGTGAAACATTAAATCCTATAAAAAGAAATAAATGATGACACAGTTTTCTTAGACTTCACTCGCTTAATTTCTGTGTCCTCTTCTTTTTTTTCTTTTTTTTTGAGAATATGGAGGATTCCTCTGTTCACATACCAAGTGCTTTTTTCTTGGTTGAGCTACAAAGATGAATGACAAAACAAAGCGGAGGGTAGAATTTTGCAGAAGCGACATGGCGGAAGATGTCAGAGCTTTTTACTCTTCTCTCTGTCATGTTTGAAAGTTTCCGGATGTTTGGAGACTGAGCTGCAGTGCTGTAGCAGAAAATGACTATATTTGAAGTGAACTCGATGCTTGGTCTTGGATTTTTTATTTATTTTTTTGGCTCTGCATGTCTGTATGTGTGCAGAGATGGATCTTAAGGATCTAAAAGCTGTTTCATTTCATTTTAATTTTCTCAAAAAAGGCATAAGAAGCAACATGAATTTTGGCAACTGGGAACGATTTTGTGTGAGCATTTGAAAATGTCTTGTCAGGGAGCTTCGGTTGGCATCTGATTTTCCCATGCCCCTGCAAATGTTTGTGCTTGTAATTTATAACTGCATGTGCAAGTACATAAGAGCGGCAGTGAGGGCTATTGTGTTGGGGCCTGTTTTGGGTGAAATAAAAGTCATTTTGCAGAGGCAGTCTAATGTGAAAATGACTGATGTATTTTCAAGATCGGTTCTGTTTCATTAGGCATTTGCAAAATCAGTCACACACACAACTCAAAAATAAATTAAAGAAAAAATGCAGTTTGTGGGTCTAATTAGGAGTGTAAAGTTAGTGCATAGCTGACACAAGCTGAAGCCGTCTCTCATTAAAATTGGTTCACATGTGAAACCAGATTCCACAGTGTGAATTTAATTAAGGGCTTCTCCATCCTCCCTTCTTGCTGTTTTTGGACCGTTTCTCTAGCAGCTTTCAAAAACGGAGTCACTGAGTATTATATAGTGTCATATAGTATTTTTGTCGACTTACCCACTTTTTTTTCTTCTTCTACCTGGATCCCTTTTGTGTCTGACACCCTATTCCCCGACCCCTCCCCATCTTCCACCTCTTCTCTGTCCACAGTCTGTTCCCAGTATTCAAGGGGGGTCTTCGCTATCTTCGGCCTTTACGACAAGCGTTCAGTAAACACGCTGACATCGTTTTGTGGGGCCCTGCACATCAGCCTAGTGACACCCAGCTTCCCCACTGAAGGCGAGGGCCAGTTCACGCTGCAGCTTCGGCCGTCCATCAGAGGAGCTTTGCTGTCCCTGTTGGACCACTATGACTGGAGCCGATTTGTCTTCCTCTACGACACAGACAGAGGTAAATGCCCAGCAATGAATGCGCTAATGATGCATGTAAAAACAGCTCGGATATATAGTCGTCTTATGACCAAGACAAAATCTGACCACTTCTCATTTTCTTCTACTTAACTTTTGTTCCTTCAGAGTTTTAAAGAGCAAAGTCAGAGAAGATTTTGTGGAAGGTTTTAAAAGGGGCTGTAATGTAGTAAAATGGTCAATTTCAACTAGAAAAGCCTAAAAGACTGGAACATAACTGGGCAAGCATTATGTACTTACAGAATTACATGGGTAGCCATGATGCACAGAAAAAAAAAATCCAAGCGCTAATGGGCAGGTGTGTCATTGTTTTCATAGGACTCAATGCCATTCTGTTAATACTACATACACCACATGATTCAGTAGCTTCTGGATCCATCCTTAGTGTTAAAAATTTTTAAAAATTAAAGTAATACTTTTCTTTTTGATTCTTAGTATTTCACATTTAATTCAATTCAGCTCAGTTTTATTTTATAGCACAAAATCACAACAAGAGTTGCCTCATGGCACTTTATATTATAAAGGTAAACACCTCGCAATTATACAAAGAAAACAGAAAAACCCCAACAATCATATGACCCACTATAAGCACACACTTTGGCAACAGTGGGGAGGAAAAACTCCCTTTTAACAAGAAGGAACCTCCAGTAGAACCATGCTCAGGGAGGGGCAGCCATCTGCCGTGACCAATTGGGGGGTGAGACAGGATAAAGACGTGCTGTGGTTAGCTCGCTCTGCTTTATAATGTTGTAATTTGAGGTTTGCGTGCCTTTGCTTAAGGCCCCACACACCGTCTCACAGCATTGAGGGCTAGACTTCGACTGGGTCATTGCAGCACCTTGGTTCTTTTCTTTTACAGCCTATCTGTTATAGATTTGCTGCTGAGCTTGGGATCATTGTCCTGTTGGATGACCCAAGTCCTGTGGCTTCAAAACAAGCCCCCAAATGATCAACCCTCCATGCTTGTGCTTAACAGTTGGCATGAGGTGTTTGTGCTGATATGTTGTGTTTGGTTTTCACCAATCTTGGCACTTTGCTGGGCGTCTCCACTTTGGTCATGTCTTTCCAATGCAAGCACTAAAGCCTTGACATCTTTTTTTTCAAAAGCATCTTTGCAAACCTAAGTCATACAGCCCTGTTTTGTTTTTGTTTTTGTTTTATAAGGGGAGGCTTTCTCCTGGCAGCCTTTCAAAAAAAGTTGTACTTTTTTACCAGTCAATCTTGATCTAATTGTGCTGTCATGAACTTTAACATTTAACAGACTTACTGAGGCCTATAGACCCTGAGACATATTGCTTGGAGGTGTTTTGCATTTCTAAGGCCGAGCATTGCATTGCTTGACTATATGGTGGATTTCCTGGGACGTCAGCTCCTGGGAAGATTGCAGCATTGAGCTAAAACATTCCTGAATCCTCCAGAACATCAAACTGTCAAAACTTTTGCTTTCATAGAGGTGCTCAGACTTGCAGATGATCACTTAATCAAGGACATTTGATTAGTAGCACCCAGCTGCTACTGACCCTCTTAATTCCTATAAAAGCAGTAAGGGCGTACCCTTCTTACCCTTAACCCTTTCTTTTCTTTTTTTCATTCTTTTTTCATAAAGTAACTCCCATATTTAGCTCTGTGTTCTCATGGAAACACAAAGGTTTTATTACTGGCAATGAGCAGACTTTATAAGGACAGCAGCTGAAACAGTGGTGATTTGGCACTTTTCAGCCAGAGACAAAGATTTGGCCTCAGCTCTCGCGGCGTTCACCTGCTTTTGATTCGACCATGCCATCATGCAGTGCACGCAAGTTAGTGGAGCAGGCACAGCTGATGCCCTCAGACCCTAACCACTGTCATGGGGATGCTTGGCACGTTATTTCTCTCACACACACCTACATGTGTGCACAAATAGACACACACATACACTCCCACACAGACTAATCCCCAGCCACAGGGAGTGAAACACAGGTCAAACATGACGTAAAGTCCCCAGACCGTACTATAGTGGGTGTGTGTGTGCATGTGTGTAGGTGCCTCAGCCAGCATCCTGTGGCCTTCGTTGTTTTAAGTTATTACCCGGGGGAGCAAAAGGGAAAAAAAGAGGAAGGAAAAGGGGGAACAGGAAACACAGGTTAGGTCAGTCGTGCTGGTGGCGAAGTCAAAAAGACAGAAAATTAGCTGTGAGTCATGAGAGGAGGAGACAAACAAGGTGATGGGGGCAAGGGCTAGGAAGAGGAGAAAGTGGAGGTAGATGGGGGGCAGTGGAGGATGGCAGGGGGAGCATTACAGAAAGGAGGAATAAGTAGAGAGACAAAATCACAAGCCTCTGTGGATGTACAGTAGCATATAGCATATATATACAGGAAGGAGGGGGAATGTTTGAGAGAAAGGGGGATCAGAGGAAGAAATGGAGCGAAAGATGGATGTGTAAGAATTTGGGCTGTACTCACCCATGACTTGGCCAAGGCAGGGCCCTTCATTATAGGCTCCCATCAAGACCTGCTGCCTGTAATGTGCTGGAAAATGGGCAGTAACACTGTGATCTGTTTTATGCACCCTGCTCTGCTCCAGAGACAGCTGCTTAAACGCACTCACAGAGGCACGAACTGTGGACGTCCACAGAACTGCACATGTGCATGCAAAGGCAAATGCATTCACAGACAAATTCAAATAGATTATATTAGTGCGTGCCCATTTCTGAAAGCATTAGATAATATGCTTTTTCCTATGTACTGTGTAACAACAGTACATAGGAAGGCACACGTACTGCAAAACACCTGAGTAACTTACAATATAATCATTTTGTATTCTGCAATTAGTTTTAATTCTGATTTCATTTCGATTTTTTTTGTGTTCAATACAGTTTAGTTTCTGAAGCAGGTAAGCTCATTTGAGTTTAGTTTTTATCATTTTCTTCTGCCTCATCAGTTCAGGGTTGCAGGTGTGCTAAAGCCCATCCCAGCGGTCACAGGGCGAAAGGCAGGGTGCAGTGCAAAATGATGATTTTTAGTTTAGTTTTTATTAATTAGTCTTAAACTGGTTATTGCAGTAAAAACACAGCACTTTGTGAAGGCGGTTGACTCAAGGTCACGCACACCTACTAATTCTTAATAAACAAAATCAGCAAAGTCACATCCAGGCAGGTTGTGATGACACATGTGAACAAAATGTCAAAAACATATTTTCTTTTAGTTTAGTGAATTTTGTAAGTTCACAAAATCTTTTTTGTCAGTTTATTTTTCTCCAAAAGTTGGGTTATTTTTTACACCAAGTTTTACCTTTTTAGAGTTTTAGGTTAAATTTTAGGCACAGACATTTTCATTTAGACACATGTATGATTCTATATAGCATCAGTCAAGTGGTTAAAAAGGTCAAACTAGAGTGTGTGCTTTCTCGTCTTGTGTTTTAGAAGACTCCCGCTGTACTCGTGTTTCTCTGCCTTTGTGTCCATGTGACTTTCAGCGAATTGTGATATTATTTTATTTTGATTGAATCTGCTTTGCTCAGAGAGTTAGCATCAAGGTTTGTTTCAGCGCTCATCGTGATAGAAACATGGCCGGATGCCAATATCAAGAAAGAATATTGCTGTTGCATTGTGTTATTACTTATTATTACATGTTTCCCATTTGTCTTGACCCAACATGACAGTTGTTCGGTGTAATATTATATCCATTGTCACTCATGTTGACACCTTCTGCTTGTTTGATCAAGTCAGATTCATTAGAAACACATTAAGAAGACAGCCTGTTCAAAGGTGTGTTGCCTCATATTGTAGAAGCAGAAGTCCATTTTATAGTTTTGATTCCAGACTATAAATACTAAGTATTTACACATGAATTACTTTTTAATCCTATTTTAATCTTAAGGGGGAAAAGGATTGAGAATTTAATTTCAATGAAATGTCAACACTGAGTGTCAGAATTCGACAGACAATTCAGACGTTACACTTTGTAGGCTGGAAGATAAAAAATTAAGTTGAAGATGCGTTAAATGCTAAGCATTTTGCCCCTAGTTTTGAAGCGTAATGCACACCTGGAAACAGTTTGCTAATTCTGGTATAGTGTGCAAAGGTTTTACCTTAACTATGATTAGGATAACAGATTTTGAAAACACGAGCGCTTTTATTTATTTAGTGTTTTTTTTCTGGAAAAACAGCAAAGCATAATTTATCCATTTTTCAACTGCATCATGTACCTAGTGCAGCATTAATAGCATTTTTTGCTTCCCTTACTCTCTGTTGTTTAGGTTATGCAATACTGCAGGCAATTATGGAGCGAGCGGGGCAGAACGGATGGCAGGTCAGGACACACACAAACGCACAAATTCTTGGAAACCTGCTAAAACACACACACATGCACAAGAATTGTCATGCTCTCTCAGAGCGCACAACTAGTATATTAATTTAAACATCCACATGCACACACTGTGCTCCCATGCTGTGTATTCACATTTCTGTGATTAGTTCTTCAAATAGCTTTTTCATTTGCTTGAGGTTTACATGCATGACTCTATCCATGATGTCTGCTCTTGTGTTCTTGCGCACATATGACATGTAAAAACAGGTGAGTGCAATCTGTGTGGAGAGTTTCAATGAGGCGGCGTATCGGAGACTCTTAGAGGACCTGGATCGACGGCAGGAGAGAAAATATGTCATTGACCTGGAGCCTGAGAGACTACAGAGCATCCTGGAACAGGTACTGTTATTGGGAAATTTAACTAACAAGATTGTAAATACTTCAGTCTAAAATCCAAAAAGGTGCTTAAGCCAGCAAACCATGTAACTCATGTTAGTTGAGTATGGAGGTTGAATATGGAGAGATTTGTGGTGCAGATAACTTAGCAGGATGGAAAAACATGGAATAATTAACAGGTCTATTAAATGTTAAATAATTCTGTTTTAGAGTAAGTTTGAGGTTGTTATTGCCGTTTATTAATAGCTACATTACATTTACAGCATTTATAAATACTCTACAGTCCCTGGTTACAAGTAATAAAAGGAATTTTTAAAATGTAAAAAAAGAATTATCCAACTGCTGGTGGAGGTCTGACACTGAGCTGGATGCTAAACAAGATCATGAGATAGAGTTAATGGCTGCCCAAATATCACTGCGTGAGGGCAGAGATGACATTGCTGACCTGCACTTAACACTTAATGAGATACAGCCAAAGCACAATGATGTGTTTTTAGATCCTTTTAACCACATAATAGGTTGTGTTAAATAATGAGGTGAGACCCTGTGAGAAATAGTGAAAACACTTAGAATTAATGTTAAGTTACTAATAACTGCAGTACCACATAATGGAGATTTTTCACCGTACCACTAGTGTCTGCCGACTGTCTGCTCCACTCAGCTGGTTGCAGCAGCTCGCCTGATGCTTTCTGACATCTGGAAAGAAAACAAGATTTGAGTTTTTCCCTGGAGTTTGTAAATGTGGAATGAAAAACTGTGACTTCCCCAACAGCTACATCAGTGTGTGATTGCAGTAATGACAGTAAAGAGTCCTATCGCACACAGATTTCAAGCATATACCCACGTAATAAATGCATGGCATGCGCTCGGACACCTTATGGTTGTCTGAGTTCATTAGATTGTCTGTCTTGTTTGATGGTTAAGTCTTGAGCTCTGACAGGTGGCAGGAGTGTGTGTGAGAAAGAGAGAGCGTGTGACTCAGGGCTGTAACATCCCATTGGTCCTGCCACCTGTCATTACATGTGATCCTCACTTTGCATATGTGATAAACTCACTAACACAAACATACACACAAGTCATTCACTATTGCACATACCTCTCAGAAACTCCTACAATTACTGGTAACACACAGAAATTTAATATATGTAAAAAAAGCTAAAATTACAGCATTACAATGCACATCGTCATACAGCTACACAGACACAAACCCACACTAGTAGCGGCATCTCAGACACACAGACTGTTTCTTAATTGGCTTCTGTGCTGAGTGAACAGACAGACGGAGGCGCACGCACAAACGCACACATGTGTACTGAGACGGGCATACAGACACAAACACACACACTAGTCAGCTCTGCAGAGCTGGCCCTGGCTTGCATCCCTTCTCTGAGACAGAGACTGCTCTGTTTGTCTGCCCCTGCCAGCTGCGATCTTTGTGTGTGCACGCGCGTGTGTGTACGTACATCTGTCTGCGTCAGTACAAAGCCGCTGATATGTGTGGGTGAGAGAGAGACAAAGAAAAATGTGAACAGTTTATTAATTAGGTTTATGCCACTTGTTAATCTGAATATGCATTCGACTACTTTGTCAGAATTCCCACAGTCTGCTGTATTTTCGCTCCATTTCCCTATATGGATAATATCAGTGACCAAAAACTCACGGGTTTTAGTTTTGAGCAGAAATATTTTTACCTTATAGGTCACGTTTGAAATCAAATAGCAAAAAAACAAAAACAAAAAACAAAAAGAGTGAAATCATCTGCAGCTTTTATAACCCATATATTGTGTTTGGCTCAGACTTGACCTGTTTTCAAGTTTATGTATATGCTTTCTTTCAGTGGAACTACGTTTCTCAAAAGCAGCTATTTTAACAGAACAAATTAAATTTTATAATTTCAATTTGAATGTCTCCATAAAGACAAAGTACTGGCTGTTTTCTGCATCACTAAAACATTTTAAAAGTCTGCAGAGTTTTTAGCCAGCGTGGTACCAAAGTCTTCATCATTTTATCCTCCTTTAATCAGCATAATAAAGTAACCACAGCACCACTGCTAAGGAAGGTAATGGAGCAAGAGATGGAGGAAATCACCTTTTTTGTCCTTGTCACCCCTGTCGTGCTCCCTAATGCTACTTTTCCCCTGCTTTCCAAATTAAATCCAAGTTTTCTCTCCCTCTCTCTCTTTTCAGGCCGTCAGTGTGGGGAAACATGTCAAAGGTTACCATTACATCATAGCAAACCTGGTAAGGGTGCTGGCGTTGCTTTCAACTGTTGTCTTGCTGTTTTCTGAAACACGTTTCCTACAGTGTTGGTGTAATATTTTATTTCAAAAGCCTACTTAAGAATCCACAGTAGACACGCAATACTAGACAAAACAAGATGGACCTTTGAAGAATTCTTCTTCAAGTCTTTGTCGTTACAGAGTTGGAGATTTTCTGCAATGATTAAAAAAAACATTATCTTAATTATTTTCTATTTATTTCTACCAGATCCTATTATGTATTTTACTAAATTGTTATTTTATCATGTGTCTCTCCTTGACAAAGTCACACCTTTGGGAAGCTGCTGGAATCAAGCTCAATAAAATCAGCATTGTTTCAACCTTAATTCCTGAAATCTTTTGAACAGTAGTTCTCTCCAGGACAGTGTAAAAGGGTCCGGCTCAGGTCAGGTTAGATGGAATTTCATTGCTTTTAGTGATTCCTATATCACCAGCTGGTAATATAGTAATCTACTTTCCATCTACTCAGTTTTCCTGGTCATTAATGTCATTCCTCAATGTTGCAAAGTTTCCACTGTGGGGATGTAATCTGGAGATCTTAGTTTGTGGGAGGAGTTTGAACCTTAGACCACCTTAAACCTTAAACCTGGGTTTTGTTTGACTTTTACAGTGGTTCCACAGTTAGAATAAATACATAAACAAAATAAAACACATTTCTTTATCAGAAAAACTGAGACTTTTTCTTATATTAAGATATCTCAGGCAATAACTGTGTAGTTAGTGAAGTGTACCTTCTTTACACTGATTAAATGGTTGTTTCATTGGATATTTCATAGGATGAATATGGGCTGCATTACATCGTCTGGTTTGAAGGTTTTTGTGGTTTTTGTGTTACATTGTTCCAAACACATTTCTTTATTTCTGTCATGCTTTTGGTCTACCCAGGGTTTCAAGGACATATCTTTGGAAAGGTTCATGCACGGCGGGGCCAATGTGACCGGGTTCCAGTTAGTGGACTTCAGCAAGCCTATTGTCATAAAACTTATGCAGCGCTGGAACAAACTCGATCAGCGTGAATACCCTGGATCTGAAAGCCCACCTAAGGTAATAAAAACACGTTGCTCTATCATTGAATATGCATTTTGGAAATCTGCGTCAGACAGAGGTCTCGGTACCTGAAACATAGTCTTGTGTGGTAGCTGAAGCGCTGAAATAAATTCTACAGCAAAATATGGAATGAAGAAAATGCAGGACTTCCATTCAGACTTACTTCAAAAATGCATGGTATTGAGATAAACAGTTACTTGAAGTGCGCACACACACATTACTGCCATTGATGTGCAAATTGCTCTTTGTACCTGAAATTCAACGCAAAAGCTGCACGGAAGGTTTTCAATCAGGTATCCAGCCACAGGGGGATACGCAGTATTTGAACCATTCAGAGTGTGATGTGGTGCATGTGTTACAGCTTCTTAGCCAATCAGAGCATGACCTCAGAATATGGCAGTGAAAAGGCTTATCTGTGATTAAGTCTCAAGGTTAACGTGATGCATACAGATTATGTAGACTAAAGACTTTGGTGTTCTGTGTCTGTTTAGAATAAAATTCTGCTGTCATGTGTCAGCTCTCTCACCTATTTACTCACTTTTCTGAGATATCTTTCTTTAACCTTTATAGTTCCAGCTCCCTATAGATATTCACAATTAAATCCCTCGACAGAGCACTGACCTGTGGGTATATTTATAGAAAAAATGTCCACTTACCCATTAAAACTACATCAGCTGTCAGCCCTCTGCCCGCTTGCTGAAATTGTTTGTATTCAATAATCCTCAAAAAAAAAACACAGTAACGCAGTAACTACAGAAAGATGGAACTGTGTATGTGTCTTTCAGTGATGCAAATATATATTTATGGTTTTACGATTTCTAATTGGCACGCTATTTTTCACCCGGTCCCGGTGTTAATTAGCTAATCATCAGTTTTAGATTCACCTAATGAATTCTCATTAGTAGATGTCAGCTTCATCAATCGTCCCTTAACATTTACACAACATTTAGTGTGTTAATTGAGGTAAGCCCATTATGCATGATTGTGACAGATAAACACAGTGAACATATTTTGATGCACAAAACAGAAGCAAACACATCTGTAAGTGCTCAAATCTCAAAACCTCTAAACATCTTTGTTTAAGTGCATTCAGAGAATGTATTTACTTTTGCTGCCATGTACATATACTGTGTTATAAACCTGGAAACAATGATTTGAATGATTTAACAGTAACAGAAATCCAGTTACCTCTTGTGACAACAGATGCCTCCAAATTGCTCTTGGCTAATTTTTGCTCAGTTAACCTTGGGGCAACTGGTAGCCTTAGGCCAAATAAAAATGTGGCCTGATAATGGGCAGGGTGGGAAATACTACTGAGAATTGTCCCTTCTACACTTGAGGCTGGAATTTGAGCCGCCCATTAATCAAAATCTCTTAACTGCTGGTGTCTCTTTGTTTTGCTTGGAGATTTTGTTGAAAAGTAATTGTCAAAGAAATATATTAAGCTCATTAAAATGTTGTGTATAATAATTAGGATCACTTCAAGAGATACAAAATTTTTTACAAATTTCTTTCAAACACTTGATCTGACTTTATGAATGTTTACCACATCTGTGTTAACAGATTTAATCAAAATGATTAATAAGAAGGATTTAATAATGATTATCGTGATAATAATCTTAGTAAACATTAGATTTACTGACTTAAATTCTACCTTTAGTTGTTATTGCTGGTATGAAATTAAATGTTCAGATGTTATTTCCCTCTCAGAAACTTAATATTTTTTTCAATGTAGTGTTTAAATTTTTTTTTCTTTTTGTTCGTCTATTAGCTTCTTGCACAATCCTGACGTTTTCCATCTTTCTTATTATTGCTGTTAATCAAGTTTATCCGTATTTTTATTGTCACAGGAAAGACACCCAGGTTCAGAACTTAAAGGTGGAAAAGATAAAAAAATTAAGCATTCATATTGGGTAGAAGGCAGCAGCCCTACTTTAAAAAAAAAAAAGAGCACACAAGCGTAAAAACACAGGCACTCTGAAAAAGACCAAAGTGACACTGGACTGTATACAGAGTGATGATCAGGGATGAGAGGAAACACAATGGGAACTAGACACAGCTGAGATTAAGCAAGACAATGAAAAGACAGTAAAACTAAAAGCAAGGCAAAAAGAGACAAACAACTCACAAAATAAAACAGGACGTAACAAACAGTCTCGAAAAGAAGGAAATGCTGGAGAGACAAAATTAGAACAGAACGTAACAGTAAAAGCCTTCCCTCACAGACCGCACCTTTCTCCCTCTGCACGAAGACGAGCTTGTGCTCAGCCAGTGTTGTTCATGATGCCACGTTATGTTCTGAAGAAATCAGACTCGACAGACAAAATTTCCGAGATTGTCAGTCTTTTTTGTTCAAATAAGCGTAGACTGCAGAAAATAGCCAGTAGTTCACACAAAACATGAACTCTTTATAATGTCCAAAAAATCCTTTCTATATCTAGAATTTTTTTGGAATGATACTTTTAAATGTTGTCATGCAAGGACACATCTATAACAGATTCAACAACCCTGGACATCTGGAAAACCAAAAACCCTTCTCAAAACAGGAAATTACAACTATACATGGAATTAAGTAAGGTAGCCTTTGGCTACAACACAGCAAACAAACAGCAGCTTTCAGTGAAACAGCCTGCAGCATCCAAACCCAGAGAATAATCAGAAGCATGTATTTTCAGTCATCATATTGTCACAGTCATGGGAATTGTGGACAAGGAATTTGACCTGATGATCAGACTGTGAATGTCAGTGTCAAATACCAAGTGCAAAATATATTCAGTATCAAATTTTAGCTGTAACATCTACCTAACAGCAGAATTTTGCTCTGTTTGATTTTTGTTCTTTTGTTCTTTGTGTGACAGTAAAAGAGGTAAAGATTCAGATGTGGAAGTCATCAGAACACTTCCAGGAGTGATCTGAAAACAGCAGCTACACAAAGACATTGAAATTTAGGTCAGATATGGTTTTGGCTCGAATTGGATGGAGTCGTTTACATCACAAACTTAGTTAGTTAGCAAAATGGCATTTTTATTAGCTTTAAAGATAAATAACAGCTGATGCTACTAGAAATAATTTTAGCTTTGCTTGCATTTGATTATACTGGACAATGTTCAAGTCCTTCCACTTGCAAAAGGAGGGATTTGATCATTTCACTTTTTGCAAAGCGTCATGGCTGCATAGATATGTATAAATATGTGTGAAAAATGAAAACTACTTGGTTCATCTTTATATATTAATCATAAAGCCGGTCCCTGATATTTTTCTCTAAATGTTTTATCCTGTTTGACAAGCCACATTTAAAAACTTAAAGATTGAATCTGATCCTGGGGAACATTTTCTGAAACTTTGTGTTTTTGAAAGGTAATTCTGTTTCTTTGTGCCCCCAAAACATTTGTACTCTGCTCCTGACAAAAACTGAAAGTTAGAAAACTACTTGGCTCACTTTTTGTTTTCTCTGTGATTCGGATAGTCTTCATCTGTCAGTCACATGCCTAAAGGCTTTCCTTAGTTTCAAAGGGTACAGATGAAAGGAGGATGACACAGTTGCGTAGCCTTGCAAAAAACACCTTGTGGGATACAAATCAAGGGATGTCAATAAGAGAGAAACTACCTGCAGAGGCGTGGAAAGCATTGGCAAGAGAATCTCAGCCGACTTGCCTCCATCCTTCCATTTTCATCCTTCCACTTCTTTCTGTCGCGATGTGAAGGCAGCCTGCTGTGTGTTTGACTGCCTCCATCTGTGTGGAGCTGCGTGTCTGTGTGTGTCCTGGGTGGGGGTGTTGCTGCTGAGTGTGTGGTATTCTTCCCTGCAGCGCTGTGTCTTACCTATAATGAATTTGTCAAGCAATCTGTCAAGACCACCATCACTTGCAGGGTTTTATCAGAGCACAGACACTGATAGTGTCTTACATTTAATTAAAATTAATAGCAAGTCATTTCAAATGTATTAAGTCTGTTTTATAATACAACCCAGTGAAACACTAATAAGCCTTTGTAAACTTTGGCAATCAGCATGACAAAGAATTATGGCATATTTGAAAAACACGTTTATAATATAATTCAACTCATTTAAATGGCTTCAATGTCACGTACAGTGACTTTATTTAAAAACTGTAACTCTGTCTAATCCTGGCACATTTACAGTGATGTTACATTTATAGTGGTGTTGGTTGATATTTACTGTAGAAATAAAATAAAAGTCATAGCAGTGAGATAGACTGTGGCACTGGTCACAGTTTACATAATGACCATGTTCCCTTATGTAGAGTTATGATGGTCTAAACCTGGTCAAAAGATGTGAGTGGGTAGTAATACTGTTGTAGAAAAACATTCTTGGAAAGCAACAAATATACTGAAATACTTCACACTAAACATTTTGATGCAAAAGGACAGAAAACAGTTTTTAGGCAATTTATGCTATCGCTTATATAACATGAAAGACCTAAGATAAACATACAGTTCTATACAAAGTTTAGGCTTGTCAAAGAGGTAACCTTTGTCCCCTCTCTCTTTTTCACAGTATACCTCATCTCTGACTTATGATGGTGTCCTTGTAATGGCTGAAGCCTTCCGCACCCTTCGCCGTCAAAAAATCGATATCAGTCGCCGTGGCAATGCAGGTGACTGTCTGGCCAATCCAGCTGCTCCCTGGAACCAAGGAATAGATATGGAGCGTGCGCTCAAACAGGTTGGCTCAATTTCACTGATAGTGTACAAATTTTATAATAGAGTGAATGCTAAATGAATTATCCATTGTCACGTGTAAACACAAAAAACAAATACATACACAAATGAAATGAACAAAACAAAGAAGTAAGACTAGGATTGTTGCTGATGTAGAATTTTTTTTTTTTGCTTTCTCCTGAAAAGCTGGAGGTAAAAAGGTTGTGTAAATAATCTGAAACAAAATGGTAGCAGAAAAAATTACTGAAAAGGTTTTAAACACTAACTAAACTAATTAAACCATTCAGATAAACTCTTAGCTTTATCTGAATGGTTTTATTTTGAAAATCTCACAGGAATAAGGAGTCTTAAAATTATTTAATAAATAATTAAATTAAAAGCATTCAGTTAAATTCCTATGAATATCCAGGTGCTTTTATTTTGAAAATAGGGCATACAGTACATGGATGCTCTGTTGGGGACTGTGGCTGTTGTCTGTTGTGAATCGGTAGAAATTTTGTGGTCATAATGTTAAAGTTGTGGACGTCCCAACCATTTGATGATAAAAACAGCACATGACAGAACAAAATATTATGGAAATAAATGCTTTGGTCCAGTTGTTTTAAAATACTGTATCAACAGGACTTCAATTGTGTCTATGTTTATACTTGTACCGCCGTATTTGTTTTATCTTATCAATTTATATTAATGTCTCATGTACTTACCCATTAGCGGTATTTGCCTCAGACTTTCAGTGTAATGTTTAAAGTGAAAACGAGACAATATTAACTTTAATTAGACTTGGCCTCTAAAAGCAAAGAAAAACTAACGCTTAATGACAACAAATGAGGGGCAACCTAAGAATCAACAGAGAACATTAAACAATAAACTCAAAAACACTGGGTCAAAAACCCAGCACCGTTAAAGTATTTGCATTCATTAATTCTTCTGTTTATAGTTGCTTAGTAGCAGCAGCTAACATTCCCACACTCAATTCAGGTTTTCAGCTTGGGCACAAAGTGTTCATAGTGTTCATGTTCATTCAATGCAAGCGTTTCGTTTGGCATAATTGAAATAAATAACGGGTATCAGTCTTAATGTTAACTGTGCATCAAATTATTCATCTCTGCTGCAGCATCCCGTTGCAGTTATTGAACTATTTGTTTAAGCACCGCTTGCTTGGCTTCACCATGAAGACAAAAATAGAAGCCCAAGCACTCCTATTGTACTCCTGACTGTTCACTGAGTGTCTGCGATCTTAAACATCTGTATGAACTATTTTAGTTTTATGTTTCTACTCTTACAATTCATCCAGGTGCGCATTCAGGGCCTGACTGGGAATATTCAGTTTGATCACTACGGTCGGAGGGTGAATTACACGATGGACGTGTTTGAACTCAAGAGCAATGGCCCGCGCAAGGTAAACGTTCCTCATGCATTAAAAAAAAACAAGGACTATAAATTTTTGAGTCCAGATACTCACAGCAATACCATGAGCAAAGTATTTTAGACCGTGTTTCTAAAAAGCCATGTTAAAAGACTGGAAAATGCAAAGAAAATGCTGTTTATCTTAATTTGAGCAAATGCGATGCCTCAGCAGGATATATACATAAATCACAATTAATATATACACTTCCTGTTAATTTGTATAGTGCGTCATTCTTCTTGTTTTAGCCTCCATTCATAAAAAAAATAATTTACGCCATAATTATTTTCATAATTCTTAATTAATCACTTCTGTTTGCAATTATGAATACCATTAGATGACTGCAATCAAACCAGCCATCACAGCTTGTGTATATTAATGGCTTTTTGGAGTACACACTGGAGATCAGCTCCCAGGCAACCTGGGGGTACATAAAAATCTGCAGTGACATAAATAAGTAAAGTTTGAACATAATCTGTCTCCATAAGAGAAGAAAGTAAGAGGATAGGATGTCGTTTGGAACGGCTTATAAATTCTCTATACTGGAAAAACACATACATGTAGCCCCAATAATAAAGATATAGCACCATGTTCCAGCATCGCAATTGTTCCTTCGACAGCGATGTGTGTTTATTGAAGGTTCTTGGCTCACACTCAATATCTCCTACAGTTCCAATGGGAAATTTCCTGGAGTTTGCTCAATCTGATTTATCTTTCTCTCAGTCTCATTTTCTCCTATTTCGCCTTCTCATTTCCTTTAATGCTTCCGTTTTACCTTTTCTATCTCGATTGTATTGCATGCATGTCGAATTACATTTTGCATAAATTGTGCGAGGGTAAAACTGATTGAAAGTACATTAAACTATATTTTCATGGATGTTTTTTCTCTTATCCCTCTCATTCATCTTCTCCTACTCCCATATATCCCTCTGTTTACCTCAGATTGGTTACTGGAACGACATAGACAAACTTGTGTTGGTCCAGAATGAAAATGCTCTGTCCAATGACAGTTCGGCTATGGAGAACCGGACTGTTGTCGTGACAACTATCATGGTAATGTACCATCTGACTGTTTTCATTTCTCCATTGTTTAGGTGCTATTTGGGTGAAGCTCTCCTTCAGCGCGGACACTCAGTCGTTCCAAAATACATAGCCTAATGTCACCAGAATCTTGATTTGACTTGAGCACGTATGCAGAGACTTGAAGTTTATGTTGAAAAAAAATTACACACCAGAAAAAATATGATAACCATATGAAATAAGTTTTTATTTTACATTTTTTTTTCCAAGCAAGATTAGTAAGTGGAAATTGATAGAATAGGAAAACTATAGGCAGAGAATTTCTCATATACAGAACACCCACTTAGAATATTTCACAGGGGATAGGATACACACTAACCAGTCAGTTTATTCGGCACCCCTGATCGAGTGGTCAATAATGCAAATACCTAATCAGCTAATCACATGGAATCGATTCAGTACATTCAGGCATATGGACATAATCAAGATGACCTGCTGAAGTTTAAAGTGAGCGTCAGAATGGAGATAAAAGGGGATTTAAGTGACTTTGAATTAGGCATGGGTGTTGGCGCCAGCTTACTGATGTTTCAGAAACTGACGACCTCCTGGGCCAACAAAGAATGGCCCAGAAAAGAGAAAATATCTAGTGAGTGGCAGTTCTTTGGGTAATAATCCCTTGATGCCAGAGGTCAGAGGGGGAAATTGCCTGACTTCTAGCTGATTGCAAGGCAACAGTAACACCAGTAACCACTCATTGAAGCCAAGATAGCAGCACATCAATTCGATTCAGTTTAATTGTATAGCCCAAAATCACTTGTAACTGTTCGAAAGGATTCACAGGCATAAAAACATTAATGCACAGGATGTCCAACCTTGAAGCAGATGAGCTACAGCAGCAGAAGACCACACTGGCTGTAGCAACTGAAGCTACAATTCCCAAGGATTCATCAAAATTGAACAATCGAACAATCGTCTAATGATCCTTGATTTATGCTGAAACAAGATGAAAAGCATGGAGCCATCTGCATGTGGTTGAAGCTACTAGAAGTGACCTAATGTCAGAAAGCTCACATCATCTTAAGCTGGTTTCTTGAATATTGAAAAATACTCAGATTAGCCTCCACCTTTTGCATTTTATCTTCTAATAGCAAGTGAGAATCTTGTTTTTTAGCCGCATCACTCCTTTTCATTGAAGGGTGTCTTGAAAGTACCCTCTAGGTGAACTGTGGCTATTTTCAGTACAATTAAATAAAGAAGAAGTGGGCATGTGTCATCCCTTAGTGCTAATAGAGTCTGCCATGAATATTGCAGTCTGTACTGTGGGGAAACAATGGCCACAACATTAATGTGATAATACGAGGCTAAAGTGCCCCTTTTAAGTGTTGTTAGACTCGTCTGATGGTTCACAGGACGATTGAACCCTTATGTCTGGACAATCTGGCTGTGCTTTTCAGTCAGCCTCTGGCACACTCTCAGCTCAGCCATTGTTTCAGCGTCCATGGGAAGCGTTTGGAAACTTCCACTTATCAAAAAAAGAAATGTTTTTTCAGCTTGGACATTTTTATTGGTGGGGGCTGTACATTATTCAAATGAAAATGGTAATGCGTCCACTGATTACTGATTACACACGATCGTAACCAGTCAACACATGCAATCACTTTTCGTAGAGAGGGAAGTTACCACAGTTACTTTGTGGATACTGTAGAACTGATAGTGCTTCAAGTCCAGCTCTGTGGTGAGGTTTACCTGTCTTTGTGGTCTTTTTGGATACATTCAGCATCAGAAAGCTGGAGGATGAAGTCCAACAAGGGCACAACATGGCACCGTTTTAACACTGAAAACAAAATCAGCCTGGAAGTGGACGAGCTGGATGAGTTCAATAGAGCCCTCGCAGTACAGCCAGGAGGGAGTGGCACTTGTCCAGCTGGAAGATTTCACTAATGTCTCATTAGTAGGCAAATCCAAAAGTGACCTCAGATCACCATTTAGAAGTGACCTCAGTCCAATCTCTTCTAATAGCTTTCACATAGACACTGCTCTGCAGCCCAGTTTAATTATTCCTCTTTCTTCTACAAACAAGGATAAAGGAGGGCTAATCGGTGGATGTGTGCACATCCTCCGCTTACATTTGATTTCACTTCACCCATCTGCAGCGTTTTTATGGTGGCCATCCCCTTCCTGTAAATGCAATCAGTCTAATTCAATTTGGCATGCAAAGTGATGCAAGTGAAAGCAACTCAAAAGACTAATTTCAGCCCAGAGATAAAACAAGCCACAGATGCTCGGGCTTTAATTCGGTGTTTTGTTTTAAGGCACATTGCATCGTTTCATCCAGAAAACTCAAATGTGACCAAAATATCTGCAGTTGTACTTCGCCATTGCCCTCCCCTCATGCAAATACTTACAAACAGACAACGGCTCAAAGATGTTGATTTGAGAGTGCAGTGAGTCTACAGTGCCTCCGGTGGCCAGATCCAATCATCACTCCTGCTGGCGTAGAGGAAAACAGCCGCACATGCTGCTGTAAAGAGTTCAGAAACACTAAATCAGCTGGATTAGGTGTCCCCAGTTTGAGCTTCACCTTCAGCCGTACACATTTCAGCTGGCAATATATCAAACTACACTGCAGTGTTTGGTTTGGTGACTCGAGTCAGGTGCAAGAGAAACATACAAACACATCAACAAGATCAGATACTTAAAAGGGCAATTTAGTAATGTGTGACAGTGCAGTGCTGTTTTCTGTTTATTTTGTACTGTGTCAATACATTAATCTCATTTTGGTTGAAGAGCTGGTGTTATGAATAAATTAGTATGGTGAACAGTGTGTACATGCTTCTGTTGTTTATTTCCCTCTGTCATTCTATAATATGTCTGTCATTCATCTGACATTCCAGCACATCTGTCCTCGTACTCCCCTCATCTCTCCTTCGTTTTCTCGATTCTCTGTAACTGTACACACCTCTTCAACCTCCCCAAACCTTTGTTTTTACCTCCATGCCTGCAGTCTTTGCATATTTCTCTGTGGATGGTGACCTCAGCAGGGCTTGACTAATGTTAGCTCAGCCACCTCCTCCTCTTTGCAGCCTCTGGTGATGAGGAAACCTCTGCAGCGACACTGATGCCGAGTCTGCAGACAAACCAACAGACCCTCGAAAATGACTGAGAACAGACAGCCTGATAGAGTTTCTCTAAAGCTCTTAAAGGACTTATCTTTCTTTTCTTTTTTTTCTGTATAACATTTTTTTTTAATTATTTGGTTCTGACATCATATATTTGCTTAGATGAAGATGGCCAAGAAATAACGGCACAGAGAAGAGACGAGAAGGAGGATCATGGCCCTGTGAGGTTTTGGGCTGACTTGCTCATTGTGCTCCTGTCTTCCTCTCGTAACAAAGCTACCACCACATGAAAGCTCTGCAATGGATTCTGCAGCGTCTGTCAAGGTTTGACAAAGTCACCGGACTGTGGAACAACGCTGTTAATTTAGATTCTTCACTTTTTGAGGACAACACAGCTACCACCGTCCTCTCTGTTACACTGCCTGCAGAAGAATTTGCCTTAATCAGATTTCGATTTTATTTTTTACTTTTTTTTTAAGAGAAGATGTAGGTGGAGAGTGACAGGTCTTCACTGTCAGTCCGGCATTTTTTTAAGCACTCACCTTTCTCTCCTCTGTCTTCATCTCTCTGCTGTGTTACTCTGTAAATCTGTTCAGTCATGCCTACTCAGTCAACTTTCCTTTAGTGTATTTAAGCTCTTCTGATAGGTTGTTTTTTTATCTCTTCATCAAAATAAAAGGGTAAAGTAAACCTGTTCTCATAATTTTAGGTGACTTGTTGGCCATTTGTATGAGACAGTGCTATTTTCCATGTCTCTCTATGTATTTAATCTTACTTCCACAGTGACACTGTGATCATTTGTGTACTCTACATGTAAAAGAATAGCATTCTTTAAAAACTATCCCAGAAAATACTCCAAAGCTGACCCTACACAAAAATGGAAATATTGCAGACATCCTCAAGACCCAAATGCTAAAGTAAACATTAATTAGAAACCCAGTTACACAAACACATGAGTACATGTGCATCTACAAAGCCCTCACAGATCTCAGAGCAAAGATGAGGGCAGATTGTTAGATGTGTTGCCTATGGTCATTATTAAAGTGTCCTTACTCTATTCCAGATACACCCATGAGGACATGACTGTGTCTTATTTATGCCTCTGCTTTATAATCATAGTAGTGCAATATATCTGACTTTATATTAGTTAGATTTTAACTTAAACCATTCTAATCTTAAAAGAAAGAAACTGCAAAAGCTAAAAAATATTGTTAATGAAAAAATAAAAACAAATCTTTAACGAACCAAAAGGATTGTGCACGGCTGGTTGGTTAGACTTAGTCTGCCTTGATGTCTAATTAGTTGTCTGACTGATTCATATGTTGACAGACAAACTGACTGACTGTTACTGAAGAGGACTTGGAGGAATGGCAGTCTTCGTCTTCTGGTTATTGGTTGGCTGCTCAAATAATCTTATTAACTGCTGAACTGCCCTGCTTTCTTTATGGCTAAATAGCTGGGAGTTAATCGCACTGACCAACTGGCCAAATATGTGACCGGATAGATGATTATGTACTGTGATTGCAGTAATTGCTTAATAAATGGACTGCCTGACCAAGTAACTGACAAAGGCTGTGACTCACTGCCTGCCCTGCTTCTCTGGTCATGTGAACGGATAGCTCGTAGGCTGGTGAGATGTCTCTTGATATGTAAAAATCTGGCTTTTAAAATGCTGTAATCCAGTTGGGGATTGAGGGGGAGAGAGTGAATGAATGACTGGACAGTTAGGTTGACTGTCCATTGCATTGGGGTTCGTCTTCTCACCAGGCTAGCTGACTGGCTTACATAGCAAGTCATTTCTGCCTTTTTGGCACCAGTGTGAAGTGTTTCATGTCTTATCAGCCCCAACCATTTGCTTCTACAAAGCTGTTCTTCCTCTCTCACACACCCCTTTCCCTTCTTTGCTTGCTCCCTCGTTTCTTCTCCATTTTTCTTTTTTTGTCACATTCTCTCTTTCTCTTAATCTCTCCTTCACACTTTCCCCCTTGCTGTTTCTATCGTCTATTCTCCTTGTAGCGATCACTGTTTGTATTCTGATCTCCTCCCTCATCTTTCTTCTGTAGTTTCTTACAGCCAAAACGCCCTGCATCCCTCTCATCCTGCTAGTCTCATTCCCATTACCATCCTTCTTTCCTTTCAACCTCCTGATTCTTATTTCTTCCTCTCTTCTCCCCTCCCATTCCTTGCACTAACTCATGATGCCATATTAGGCAACACCCAAACATGATGCTTTTTCCCAGCAGTAAATACATGCGCTAACATCTTCTACACACACAAACTCACTCACTCACAGCAAGACAAAAGTGTCTGGAGCAAACTGATAACAAACCTTAAGGAGGCATTAAAGTGATACACTGCCACTTTTGCCAGAGCTTCAGCTAAAATGTGTGTGTCCATACATATAGTATATCCTTTCGTGTGTATCGGCTTACATAAAACTAAATTAACTCAGCAAAGTAGACTTGTCAGACTTCAAGCATTTGACCTTGTAATTGAGATGGCTGCATTCTCCTTAACACAAGCTGACTAAAAGATTCCCGCTGAGAATCAGTGATTAAAGATGAAGCAAACAAGCGCTCAAGGTTATTTTTTAAGGGAAGGACCCGATAAGGCGCTTCCATTTCAGGGTCAGCAAAGAAAGTTGTTTGGACGTGACAGGATTGGATTCACAGAATTCACTATAAAGCTGACACTAAAAATAAATTAAATAAATAAATATGCATTAGAAGATATTTTCATTTGCCAACTGCCAAGAGTTTGATTTGGACAATAATGCTGCTCTCCATTTGACACTACAGCATGTGCACAAATACTTGTGGATATGATTTTAAGTTGATTATTACATAAACCTTAAACCAATTATATCAGAAACAATCTCAAATTCAAATTAAGCTCCAAAAATAGGAATAGAGGGGTTAGGTAGCGCAATGTAAAATAAAAACATATTTCAAGAAATAAATAATGGATTCATAATAAATTGGCTAAATGTAAAGCTGGAGTCAGCTGTCTTAAAGTAACATTTAGCAACATGGGACACCTAATTTGTTTTTTTCTGTTTGTTTGTTTTTTACATGTAAAGATTAAAACTGAGGAGATGTATGTTGTATTTTTCAGCTAATCCTTTGGTTGCATTCATTCCAATGGACAGTTGTGCTAAGCTAATGTCTCATGGCTGCAGCTTCATAATTAACTTACAGAATTAGAGTGGTATCAGTCTAGCTCTGAGCACATATATGTTAATGGAAATTATTAAGGTTATAGGTTAATGTAGATAGTGCTTCAACCATGCAGCCACATCAATCAGATTATAATATTGCATACATTTGAGTTTCCTTATTTCCTTATATATATATATATATATATATATATATCTATATTGTACAAGTTGTGTGCATTACAACTGGTTCCAGCGTTCAAAGCACTTGTACTTTAAAAGATGATTTCCTCATACTGTCTCTTTCCTCTTACTTTTTATCCCTGGTATGCAATTGTGATGGCTCTGTGCATCTGTTTAATTTACATGAAACTGCTTTGCTTTTCACATGATTCATGTAGAGTCTGTGGAATTTGTGCCCCGGAAGCTGCTAATGTATCTGATAATCATATTTTTGGGAGAATAGTTTTGTTTTTTTTATGTTTTTTCTTTGTATGTTATGAAACCGAGCACCAAAGGGCAAATGTTTGTATTTAATGATGATGACGATGATTGTCTTGGTAGTGCAAATGTTCAGCATTAATATTCAACATAAATTAAGAACTGATTTGAATGCTTGGCTTTAAAAGAAACAGATTTTCTTAATAGTCTTTTACTGAAAAGTGGAGAAAAAAAGCACCACTGAAATGTGTGTTTGTTTTTGAATTGTCTAAATGTAATGTTATTTTCTGTATGTTTTTTTTACCTTGTTTATGTGGAAGAACAAAAAGGCGTGCACGTCCTAAGCAAACTAAAAAAAAGATGATGAATTCCTTTTTAAAAAAATATATATTTTAGAAAAAGAAATGTTTACAGCTATCCTAGCAAATTTTTCAGGTTGTGAACATGCTTAAAATAACAATGATAACACTTTATCTTGATGCTTTTTGGGTTTATTTTATTTTGGTAGTGGCCAAAATACCAGACTGGAGTCTTCAGAATGGTAATCCTCAATCCAGTGAGCAGTGTCAGGATGTCCAGCAGAGGCGGTGGGGAATGCTTTTAATTTTCAAGATATTTACTCATAAACCAAATTAGGAATCAGATAATATAAGACAGAAATTCTTCTGCAGTATAAATCCTCTTTACATTTAGATAAATGCAAAGTCATTAAATACCCCCACTGAGAAGAATTTCTCATTTTACGCCTCAGTCGTACACAAGTGCACAAGTAAATGGTTTCATTTCAAGCTCTTTGTTTGCTGAAGAGAATAAGGATCAATCTATAAATCCAACTTCCCTTTGAAGGATTTGTTTGTATCGCTCAGCTCCTGTTGTGAGATGGTTTTAATCTCTGCATGCCTGCCTTTGAGCTAGACCTTTTCTTAATTCAATTTCCCAGATTGAAGATTCTCCCATTGATTTCATCCAGATCTGTGTTCTTTATTGCTCATTTGACCTCTTTGATTCATGTCAGCATAAAAATTCTCCTTGATTAAACTGTACTTGAGTTTGGTGTGAATCAATTTCGTGCATGAAGAATTCAAATGTTATCGTTTTGTATGTGTTTTATCGTCCGCATTTACTGTTTTATAGCTTGGCCATGTTGGGTATTATACCGGGCCTGTTTGATTAAACAGATGAGATTAGTCTTTGATTAAAACAGGTTTGATAACATTTTAATAGGCTTTGTTTCATGTGGATTACAGGGTAAGCTGCCTCAGGCATAATACCATTACTCACTGCTTCTGATAGATGCACTGTCACTCAAAAGACTCTCTGCGTCTGTGTGCGTTTCTTTTCTCTGTGGATATCCTACGTGCAGCGATGCATTTGTGCTATTCCTAATACACCCACCACCTCACATTAAACTCACTCTTTTCGCTTTCATCTTTGATAACTGCATGCAGAGAATTCCTTTCGCCTAAAAGCACCAGTCTCCTTTGCTTTTTCTTCTCCTTCTTTGTATTTTTCTTCCCTCTCATACATTTCTCTCTTCTCAGCATTAGTTTTGTACTAATTCAGGTGAGGGTCCCCGTGGAGTCATGTAGACGAAGGCATATAACACAGTGCTGCAAGTCAGAAAAACAAGATATAAAACTTCACCTTGTAAAAACCATCTGTAATATATAGATATTTTCCCATTTTATCAACTATCATTTTTTTTTTATCAAGTTCTGGCTTCTGTGTTTTACTAACAAGGTAGTTTGTGTGTGAGATTTTATGCCCACAGTTACTAACACATGAATCTGAATATGTGATGGTGGGTTATATGGACATGGTCCTGTATGTACACTGAGATATCTTAGGGTGATGTGTATGTAGTTTATAAAATTCAGCTGATTTGCTCTTTGGTCTTTTATTCAATCCTGTAGCTTTGCATTATTTTCATATCTTGTAAAGATTTGTTACTCAAAGATTGTTTTTACAAAAAGAAGTTCAATATAAACGTCTCCTTAAAATCTATATACATGTCTGTTTTTCACAAGAATAACATCACTTTTCTTTGTACGTGTTTCATATGTGGTGCATTGTTCGTAAACAGACTGGTTCCTCTTAATTCCTGCCATCATGTTCGTCCAAACAGCTGTCCTTCTTCCCTTATGCTGGTTTTGTAGGAGGGTCCTTACGTGATGCTGAAGAAGAACTGGGAGCTTTATGAGGGCAACGACCAGTATGAGGGATACTGTGTGGACCTTGCCTCTGAGATCGCCAAACACATCGGAATTAAATACAAGATCTCCATTGTACCAGATGGGAAATACGGAGCGAGGGATCCAGAGACAAAGATATGGAATGGCATGGTTGGCGAGCTTGTGTACGGGGTAAGGATGGAATAATTGCAGCATGCAAGGAATGCTTTGAATTTTGTTCTGGATTTTCTGTTAAGTATCAGGGTATGGTATTTAAATGAAATCACAATGACATTACAACAGCATCACAAATCGCATCCTGTTATGGTGCACTTCGGTGCCTTTTGGCAAAAACTTCTATAATCTTTGCAGAGGTCGTATGAGCTGCAGAGCCATTACATCATGCAATGACCGAGAAATTCTCAAAACGACTCCCTGCAGTATAGCAACTCTCACAAGCTCTGCATCTCCATAGTTGCCAAGTTAGCTTCCCACTGAGATGTAATGTCACGGCAGGTTCACTTATTTCTTGAGATTTTTGCCAAGCTGGTTAATTATGCCATATACTCCCAGGCACAGTCTGAGATCTCACAATGCTGTCTGAATACAAACTTTATTAGCACACACATGACAATGTCAGTTGTCGATTTGACGAAGAGTGAAAGCGGAGACGTTGCAGCAGAACACCGACAGAATTAATTACCCTCCAGAATCTGGAAGGTGACACAGCAGAACATTGACTAATCGGGTTTGATTTGCATCAAACACTCACAGTCCGTCCTGACAACTCTTCTTCCACACATAGAAAATACTGTACTGCACTTGTAGTCTTTGACTTTTCTTTGTTGTACTTTACCCCCCCTGCATCTTTGCTGTCATTTATTTGATCCGTCTCTCTATTGTGCATTAGGTTGAGTGGGTATTTGATATCCTGTCCTCTCTGTTTTCTTTTCATATCACTTCTGTCCTCGTTCTTTTATATTTGCTGTTTACTTTTCTTGTGTTGCAACATCTTTACTTTGTAGCAATGCGCTGCTATCGTAGGTTGTTTCACTTACCACTGTAGCTATCATTAAGAATCATGCAATCATTCAGCAGTCTGTGTCCTGAATTAATGGTATTTCTGACTTTTCTTTGGATTTTGTAAATGTGTTTAAGTCTGTATGCACACTGCCTTTCATGTCTACTGTATGAAATACTCCTCTGTCGTTCTGGTTTTCCATCACCCGCCTGCATTTCTTTCAACCCTCTGCTCTCCCACTTCTTCTCTCACCTTTGAGTCCAGCTCCCCTTTGCTTTGCTCATTGACAGTTTCTATTCATTATAGCTTGTTTGTTTTATATGCAGTTGCTGCAAATTAACTGCAGTAAAATCATGAGAGTGAAGTGAAATCTCAGCCCCACCCCTCTCCTTTGCAGAAAGCAGAAATTGCTGTGGCCCCACTGACCATCACCCTGGTGAGAGAGGAGGTGATCGACTTCTCTAAGCCTTTCATGTCTCTGGGAATTTCAATCATGATCAAGAAGCCTCAGAAGTCTAAACCAGGTGTTTTCTCTTTCCTGGACCCACTGGCCTACGAGATCTGGATGTGCATAGTGTTCGCTTACATTGGCGTCAGTGTTGTGCTGTTTTTGGTGAGTTATTGTTACATACTAGGTGTTAGAATTTGAGCTGGATCCCAGGACCGGATTAGAAAAGTTACTGAAGCCTTGAGTTAAGGGATGAAAGCGCATACAGTAGCTACAGAAGTTAGTTTTTATTGTAAGGTGCTTTTTTACCACACAACTCATCATGACTCTTGATGTCTCTGAGTATATATTTTCCTGTTTTATAGATTAGCCCTCAATAGCAAATGCATTTAAAAATGTAAGAAGTATGACAGTACTCCCTTTACACTCTCAGGTGAAATGGCATTTACAGTGTTGAAGACAGCTTCTAGGCAGGAAAGCATTGGATACTTGAAGGCATCCTCTATGAACAGAAATATCATAATAGTGATGTATGCGAGACATTTAAATGCTCAATGTCAGTTATTTAAGACAGCCCACTTTAGCATGCACAAGATCAGCATAAGCCCTGTGACACCAGATTGTCTGAATATTCAAGGAAACAGTTTTTCCTCTTTTATATAAATCAGAAATTCTCTCTCCAAGGTTTTCCTTTTATCTGTTCTGAGATGTTAAACAGATGTCTCTCGCCGCTTGCTAGCTCAGTTTGCCTCTGAAAACACATTTCTATCATTTTGTATTAACTTCTGTGTGAATAGATTATAGCACAACTTAAAAAAATGCAACCCTACCCAACTAACTCTGTGACCTGTGGACTGATCGTAAACAACAAAAGAAAACAACTCTGGTCAAACATAAAAATGTAAAGGTGCCAAAGGTGATGAAGACTAGGCAATACTACTTGCTAGGAAATGGAGTCCACTAATAGCTGATAATCATTTTCAAAAATACACTTCAACAAAAGCTTCTGCTGTTTAGTTGATAGAGGCCACCGTGCTTTGCTGTAATGTTGCAAGCCCATAATCAGTGTTCATTCTCAGCCTCTGCATCTTTTTATTAGCACTACTTGTGCACTATATTATTAAGCTACATTTTTAAAAATTCACAGAGTACACTTCAGCCCATGGGCTCATGGTGTCTTGGTCACCAAACATTTGAACATTTCAGAAAAGAATCGCTCTCAGGCAAGAGCGATTCACCACACAGCAACATATTACTGACTAAACTCATGCTGTGGCTCAACCATCGTGTCTTCCTTGTGCTAATGTGTTTATATTAGCCTAACCATAGCTCTGTAGCTATCAACCAGGTAAG